GATGCAAGAAGACACAACCAAAGCCCTCTTGACCTTCTCATGAGACTGTGATGGGTCACACATAATTCCAAATGGGTTCTTCATAGAATATTATCATGGATTTGGAAGAGACCCTCCAAGGACCATCCAGTCCAACCCCATTCTATGATGCAAGAAAACACACAGCAACCCCAAAATGTATTACTACTACTACTACTACTACTACTACTAGTGTTGTTATTATTATTACCCCGTGATCTACTGTTGGCCATCCACTGCTATGAAACACCACCCAGGGTCCATACTTACATGTCACTGGCCATGGAGTCATTGGGTGAAGAGCACCTTGAGATGGGAAGCGAGAAGGATGAGCCCACATGAAGGTGATGGAATCTGTCCAATGGGACCTGCCAGAGAAACGTACAGGTGGAAGTGAGGATGTCTGCTTGTAGGTCCAGAAAAAGAGCAGTTCAGAAGCAGATTCTCAAGCTCAGCTATACCTGTAACCACAAACCCTTTCTCCAAATATCTATCAGGGCCTGACCCTTTGGCTAAAGATCCCAGCTGGTCTCTTCAGGTCAATGTGATGGAGAAACCTCTCCAGGTTTTAATCCCTAGTCGGCTCACATTTAAGGGTTTCTGGATTTGATTAGAAGACCTCTCTAGGGATTTGTAGGTCTTCCAGCACAACGCTATGGTCAACTTCTTTAGGCATCTCAGAAGACCTCCCTAGGAATCTCTAAGTCTTCCAGCACAACGTTATGATCAACTTCTCTAGGCATCTCAGAAGACCTCCCTAGGAATCTCTAGGTCTTCCAGCACAACACTATGGTCAACTTCTCTAGGCATCTCAGAAGACCTCCCTAGGAATCTCTAGGTCTTCCAGCACAATGTTATGGTCAACTTCTCTAGGCATCTCAGAATACCTCCCTAGGAATCTCTAGGTCTTCCAGCACAACGCTATGGTCAACTTCTGTAGGCATTTCAGAAGATCTCCCTAGGAATCTCTAGGTGTTCCAGCACAACACCGGAGTTTCGGAGTGCGATGTCATCTGTACGCGGATGATGTCCAACTCTGTCACTCCTTTCCACCTGCTACTAAGGAGGCTGTCGAGGTCCTGAACCGGTGCTTGGCCGCTGTGACGGTCTGGATGGGGGCGAACAAATTGAAATTGAATCCAGACAAGACAGAGGTACTCCTGGTCAGTCGTAAGGCCGAACAGGGTATAGGGTTACAGCCTGTGTTGGATGGGGTCGCACTCCCCCTGAAGACACAGGTTCGCAGTTTGGGTGTGATCCTGGACTCATCGTTGAGCCAGGTTTCAGCGGTGAGCATTCGCACAGTTAAAACTCGTGCGCCAACTGCGCCCGTACCTTGGGAAGTCTGACTTGGCTACGGTAG